CATCCCCAAATTATGACTTTTTTTTAACTGACAGTAAATGCAATCCATTGCATAAAAAAGAAAAAGAAAGGAAAAAAAATGATGGCGAGAAATAGCGCCTATAAGATAGATTGATCTACTATAGGATCGATGAACAAGTATAGCCTATTGAAAATCCAGTTTAGTAATGGGAAGAAACGGTGGCACGAATATATATATATATATATATAAATATAAAATAAATATGATTGAGAAATTTCTATATATATATATTTGAGCTATCGCTTTTGCGCACGATAATCACTATATAAATAAATCACACACGATCTGCACACGCGATTTTCGAGTTTCACTTTAGTATTTTATCAATTTCATCATTACCATGATCTATTGTGGAGTCGTTGCAGTAATGATCGCGAACACTTTTATCGGCAATCAATCGCCGTTTGCGATTCGTCGACGATGAAATGGACATTTATATGCAATCTTCTTTTCATCGAAAGCGTATCTCACGGAGAAACGTGATGCAGTTCACGGCCGATGATCACTTTCGCTATCCTTCCGGTGATATGCTTCATCTCTTGATCCGGAACTGACGCTGTTTTAGAAATTATGGGGTCGATAAACCATAAAGAGATATTGCGCGGCCAAGTTCAGTGTCGCGGTGAAATTATTTCTTTTGCTCGGTAATTTATGCTCTATTGAAGAGTATCTCTGATATTTCTCTAATATGTTCTTCTTCTGATATTTTTTCAGGAAACGCAAGGGTCTAAAAAATTACTAATCCAATTGAAGAGAAATTACATAGAAATCTACGATGACAACTACATGCCTTCAATAAAATAAAGCATCAAGCAGATTATAAGCAGGTAATAAATATTTTTGTTAAATAAAATACCCGAATTAAATTTTTTTACATTGTACAAATATTTAATTAAATTTAAATTTCGGATGTTGTTATCTTTACGTCAAAAACATACTAATTAAGTTAATAGTGGTAAAGAATAAGAACATTAGGTATCTGAATATTAAATAAAATACACAAACAAAAGTTGTAATTATATAATTATCAAAAATTAATAGTATGATTCTACACCTTTTATTAAAAATTTTATAAGGCTATAGAAATAAATATATTTTTGAACAAAAAAACGACAAAATGTTCAACATTGCGCGATTTAATATAATTCATTCCCCAATATAATAAAAATAATTATTATACAGCTATTACTCAAACATGATGACATATATAGGATAAGTAATAAAATAAAAGAAAGACTTTTATATAAATGTAAATTATAGAAATAAAAATTTATTATAGAAATATTGTACGCATGATAACTATAATATGCAAATTTAAAGAATGCAATTTACATTTCAATTACGTATTTCTTCCATTTAAATAATTAATTTTTATGTCTGAACAAACGAGAAAATATTGCCTTAATTTGCGAATCATTAGAAGAATGATATTAAAAGGTGGGGTTTATTGAGGAAAGGGAAAAATATATTGAAAAACAGTCTTATATATATTCGTACGTGCATGCGCGCACGCATGTCATTTATTACAGATAAACATAATAATGTCAACCATATTATGTTACATGACATATTGTGGCAAGAAGTATCTAAGTGTGCTTAAATGAATTGTAAACTAATGACAATCTAGTGACTCTTTTCTTTGGGTTTTGTTACTCGTAGGCGAATACTACATATTACAATGTACGAAAGTACGTGTTATCGATTCATGTCATCGTAGCTGGTATCATCATCATCATCTTCACGATGCTTTGCTTCACGATGATGCGGAATTATTTTATAGATTGTGTGCGTATGCTTCACATTTTTCACTCGATAGGGAACATGTATTACCACCTTTTTCCTAAAACAAAAAAAATGTTGCAAGATTTTTTTTTTACAAATTTTTCCGTATATCTCATACATATCTCTCTCTCTCTCTCTCTCTCTCTCTCTCTCTCTCTCTCTCTCTCTCATAATATTTCATATATTTGTTTCTCTTATATTGTGAATACTTACGATTCGATCGATTGATGCAACAGTGCAAGACTTATTAGGAACAAGATGGTGTACTGCAACAAACATAAATATCAAAATACATTATTATCACATAATCCAGTTACTTTGTGAATATTATACAGTCTTCTAAGCCAAATAAAAATAAAATGATAGAAATATCACATAATAACCAAATATTGAGTTAAAAATTGTAAAATTGAGAGAATAAATATTATTCAATTCAATTTAATTAAAATAAATATTTTAATTTAAAATAAAGTTTAAATTTAAAATAAATTTTAAATTAAATGTTGAATTTAGTTAAAATTTAAATATATAATAATATAACGAAAACATCTTACCAGGAACTTGTTCATTGTGAAAAACTTATTTCGTTTCTACAATTGTTTCTCGAAACACTCCAGCCGATCGAGAGATACCTTCTATGAATCGCACAGCTATAAAGCAAACGTTTATATAGTGCAAGCAGCAACTAACGGGAGGGAGATGCATAGTATTTCACGAAACTCCTCCCAGCATGCACTCAATGCACTATCACTTGTGATTATCGCTCTAGAATACCATAAAACATCCTTTTGCCCCTGGATTTTCACCTGGAAAACATTTTTCACATCAATATGTGGCCTAGAAACATAAAATGATAATTCATCATCTTTCAATATATTATCTGTATCAAATAACGATACTCAAACATATTTATTCTAGAATTATTTATTTTTGATATCAACGTTCGCAATAAAAAAAATAAAATTTTATTCACGTCATGTGTGTTTTTATCTATGAGAAAAAAAATTTCCGTTGATAGCAGACGATGTGTATAGAAATCACGAGCCTTCGCAAACTGCAATTTAGCAGAGGAACGGATATTGAAAAAAAACGTGTTAATCTCCTTGAATCGTAGCACGTTGAGGATGCAAACAACAAATCCGTCTAATCAAACGCAGTATGACGTACCAATTAAAAGTGATATCTCGGCATAGCGCTGGAAAGCATCGTAAGAAATGCCATCTACACGCGTGTGCAGATATATCGCGTTTCTGCGATTAGTAATTTTTATCCAGCGCCGATTCCGGCCGAGGAAAAAGAAGAAATGGACGAGAAGATTGCCGCGGCGTGACCGTCTCGGCTATCGTGATCGTGTAATCGTCGGCCGCGTTGATTTCACGGCCACATTAATTTCGAGCGGGTAAAAAACCGATCGATACGAGGGCCATAATCGTATTGTTTGGAAAGTACGTCGTGTTTAGCCCTCGCGTTTTTTCTCCTCGATCCTATCGACACGCTCAACATATCGCTCGATCTATGCAGTTATTTGTTGCGATTAATGTTATTTCTTTCTCTTGTAGTTCAAATATATTTCTTTTTATATCAAAGCTCTAATTACGTGGACATTTCTTATTGGTTTTGTTTGTGAGATATTTGTCATGTCCCTGATAATCGCAAGTGTCTCGTATTTTGTACAAAGAACAGATAAATACGTATAAAATTTTTGTTTGATTAGCTAAAATAAGATATCTAACCTGGATTATATCCTGAATTTTCTATTAGTTTTCTTTCGTATAATATTTTCGTTTTCACTAATATTACCCCATTTTTTCCAAATCGCTAATTTTTTCTCGCTCGCTTTCAACGTGAAGATATTAATATAAACGTTTACGTTTAACGTTAAAAACGTTAAAAACTATATTATAAATGTATCTGAAACCCTCATCAAAACTTTCTAATACTGCACACTATCTTGAGCGGATTCCTAATTGCAGTTTAATAACAATAATAGCGGCATCTTTTACTCATATTACTTTCCCATTCGTCATGCAATGTATAACCTACGTCAATGGAGAATAATTAGAAATTAAAACAAACCAAATGTGAAATATTATTTATTTGTTTTCAATATATAAACAATTGGCGGATTAGATTGAAATTACAATTAAAAATACATATTCAAGATATATTGGATGATTGCATAAGTTCGTGCCCGATTTTCATAGACGGCATTAAGTTACTGCATGGCGGAGTTCTATTGTTTTCGTGTGGTAATTGTTGCTTACACCGAATAGATGACATTGTCTTATGTCAATTTAGCGTCAGACATTGTTCAGATAAGTCCATTTGTGCATAAGAAAAATCATTAAAAATGGAGAACGAAAAGGTGCATTTGCGGCATGTAATGTTATATGAATTTCGGAAAGGCGTGAGTGTTGGGACTGCACAAAAATATATTTAATAAAATCGATAAAGCTTTGAAAAATAATATTTATTAACGACAATTTTTTTATGTGTGAGATAATATAATACATATATAAATGACATGACTCACATATATCTAATTTATATCTAAGTTAATATCTATATTTAACGTCATTTCGGATACAAAGGCTGTTTTTGCAACGTAAATGCATCCGATATCTAATTTTTCATCGCATAGATTATTTTAATCGATCAGTTGCTACGCAGAATATAGACACACATATGTATATATACACACACACATTCATACATGTAGACATGTGGACATACGCGTGCAGACAATCTTTACGATTTTTGCATAAAACATAAAGAGTCAAAAATCGTTTTGGAAATACAGTTACAGTCGTTATTCGCTATAAACGAACGCGTGCAAACGCATAAGAACGCGGGTCGATCGTGCTTAAAGAAAGAGAACCACGTTATCAATATAAATAAAGCATCAAGTGGTGCTCGACTTTGTTTTCGAAATCGTTCTCGAAAATTTTGATTTTCTCGCGACAGTCGTTCTCTTGGTCGTACTACTAATTGTCGGCTTCTGCGTCGTGACCGTCCTTCTCGTAGTATTATTCAATTCCGGTCTCTTCATTATATGCATCGTTTTCTTCATTATCATAGGCCTTTTGGGTACCTCTTGTTTTCTCGCTTTATTGCTCGATACAGAAACCTTGGTCGCGCCGTTTATCAACGATTTCTCGGTCGATTTACTGCTCGATTTTTCGATCGTACTGCTCGATTTTTCAGTCGTACTGCTCGATTTTTCGGTCATATCGCTCGATTTTTTGATCATACCGTTCAATTTTTCGATCGTACTGCTCGATTTCTTAATCGTATCGCGTGTCGTCGATTGCGTTACATTACTCACAGTTGGTTTAATTATGCTTGCTTGGGTCGCGACTAATCTCTCTGCCATACTGCTTATCAAGACGTTCTCGATCGCTTTGATTAGCAGCGCCGGTTTCTTCGTCGTCGTGCTATCGCTCTTGATTACTTTAATCAACAACGTCGATCCTTTCGACGTCTCGTTGCCGCTTATCGATTCAGGACTCTCGGTCGTTATTATCAACGGCAATGATCTCTCCGTCGCGTTCGCCGTTGGACTCTTCGCGGTGGCATTCGGTTGCAAAGTTTCGATCGTGTTACTCGTTGTCGATTTCACCGTTATCGATTCACTATTGACAGCTGATTGCATCTGCTTCTCAACGATCCTTACGGTAGTCTCGGAACGAGGCGTCGATACGATCGTGGATCTCGATTGCTCGCAACCGTTCTGTTTTCCCGAGGCGGTCGAACATCTCGGATCTCGAGCAATCGAGCCGCCGCGATGTTTACTATTTCGACGTGACTGATCGACGCCTCCTCGCGAGGGTTTCCTCGTGGGTCGATTTTCGAAGAGTGGCTGTCGTTCCGTCGCAGCGATCTTCGCCAGCTCGGCCTCGTACGCCTCATGCCAATCCGCGTTCTCGTGCACGAATACAACCGGTTGCCATCTCTCGCGATTGTTATCGAACCCGCCGGTGATCTCCGCGCTCTTCTCGAAACTCGACTCGCTCTTCTCTCGCTTTGACTTACCCCATATCACTTGGGACGCTGACTCGCCGCTCGTACTTGACGAACCCGCCGTCTCATGCAGGTTGTTGTAACGCGGCTGTCGGATCGCGGTTATCGTATGCTCGAACGATCGATTGACGTGATTCTCCGGTCGATAGCCGGGTAAGTAAGATGGTGGATCTATGATTTGAAGCGCGTTGTTAGAACTCGCAGCGGTCTGAGCTACACCGGCTTGCTTCTCGTAGGAGCTCGGCGAAAATGGAACGTTAGTCGGACTCTCATAAGAGCCCGAATAGGCACTTGGCGCGTTGAAAAGATCGTTTTGCTTTCCGTAAGAAGTCGCGTAGGAACTCGGAGCGCTGTTAAACTCGTTTTGACTTTGATAAGAGGACGAATAGGAACTCGGAGCGCCGTTGAACTCGTTCTGATTCTGATAAGAGCCCGAATAGGAACTCGGAGCTCCGTTGAACTCGTTCTGATTCTGATAAGAAGATGAATAGGAATTTGGAGCTCCGTTGAATTCGTTCTGATTGTGATAAGAGGCCGAATAGGAACTCGGAGCGCTGTAAGAGCTTGGGTAGAATCCGGAAGCTGAGCTAACAGCGTCGTTGTGCTGCTCGTACGAGTGCGAGTACGAACTAGGACCGGTGAGAACGTCGCTCGGCGCCTTGTAAGTGTCCACGTAAGAGCTGGTACTGGAACCGGAACCGTGTTCCATCGATGCGTGCGGATACGGAGCGACTTGCCGAAGAGGCAAACGGTGCGTGCTTAATTGATACCAAGGCTCCACCGAAGGCCTCTTCAAACCATCTCCACTCTCGATCGGCATCGTTGCATTTTCCTTCTTGAGTAGCTCCTTCACCTTATTCATGACTTCCTCACCCGCTGCTTGATACTGATAGTACGAGGCTGCCGATTCGCTCAACAATTGTTGCTCGTAATTCTGAAGATTTATTCGCGTGTCCGTCAAGTGATTCTTATCACTCTCCGACATTATCGTTGCGTTCGAAACTACCGCGGGCGAGGAACTCCCTTTGTTTTCCTGATCCTTCGGAGGATTCTGCGATGGGTTCTTGGCCAGTGGTTTGGTCGACTGCAATCCTTTAGCATGGCTAATGTTTCGAGGCGGATAAACCACGCGATGGCGATTAGAAGAGGAGGCGTACAACGCATCGCCTGACACTACGGGATGTATTGTTACGGGATGAGCATGATTCAGAAGCGTGGCGATGGGATCGATGACTGAAGGAATCGGGATGAAGGGATTATATTGCTTCTCCGCATCGATCACGGGAACCGCTAACTGCGTGACGAAGCGCACCATCACCTTGCTCGAATCAAGCGGTTCTATCAGTCGCAAATAGATCTTGCGCTTGGATCCGGGCATCTGGATGGGCACGAGCGGACCTGGTTCGTTCTTCGGAGGGTCCAGCAATTGATGTAGGATGTCAACGATGGAGTCGAAGACATTCTTCTTCCTAGTGACGCGAAACACAGGTTCGATGCGAATCGGTCCCTCGTCGTGAATTATCTCGGGAATCGAGTCCAGATGATTATCGCTCAACTCGTACGTCGACGATCCGACGATCGAGCGGGTCTTGACATGTTTTGTCGGATTTCTCGAGCGGCTGCGATTATAGCGATGTTGTTGTTGTTGTTGTTGTTGTTGTTGTTGTTGTTGTTGTTGTTGAGGTCCAGATTGAAACTTGTGGTTTTTCATGGGCTTGTCGATTCGTGTCTGCGGCTGAAACTGTCGCGACTTGGGGAATATGTCGGGGTAAATTTGAGGGGTGGGATTTATCTCTCTTCTCTCCGTAGCATCTTTAACGGCCAATTCCTCTCGCAAACTTGCAATCTTTTTTATCCTGAAAAAGTCAATTGTAAATTATATGCATGCATTTAAATATGAGAAGAGATGCGATTGAAAAACGCGAAAAGACAAATTAAATATTGAAAAGACAAATTAAATTTTATTTTATATAACTTTATTAAATACTTTTATTGTTATATAAATCTAATTTGACGAAATAGTATAATTACAATATACAAAAAATAACTGCAAGAAAAACTTATTGTTTTAAAAACAGAGACAAGAAAGAAAGAGAAAAGATCTGCCCAAAAATTTGCTTACCTATTTAAATGTTTGATCTCCTCAGTGGATACTGTTGATGACAAACATGCGCACACCTACATATGAATATACAAAGATCATATATATAGAATAAAATATATTTTTAGCACTACAAAGTATCGTTTATAATAATTAACAACTGTAACCGTAAGAATTTCAATTATTTGCTCACTTATCAATCTTTTCATGCGAAAGTTTAAATTGATCTAAATAATGTTACCATCTCGCGTTTACTTTGCGTTTCAAAGACCATTAATAAATTATATTAGCCGCAATTTTTTTCTTCAGCACTGGATGTGGATGTGCAAGTGTATCGCTAATAACTTTTTAAACTAAAAAAGAACTATGTCTCAGCCTGATTAAAATTCTTATAGGCTCTTATATCCCATATCCTTCTTTTCAATTTTTGAATGGATCGATGGATCGAACGAAAAAAAATTTGCACAAGAAATCCATATTGATTGGATAACAATCTCGGCGAATTCACATTAGATAATATTTTTCATTCACTTTTCTCACTGCGAAGACAATAATTCTCCGACGAGCTGTCTTCACTCACCGTAATGAAACACGTGAGCTTCATATCGCGTAGTTCGCACGAAATCCCGCTCACCTCGCCGATGTTCAAAGAGACTGTGGTGCGGCGATATTTAGCCACCTCTTTTAAAGCTTCTCCCATAGAGCGGCGTCCGTACCAAAGCGTGTGCTTGATAACGCATCCATAGGCGTGTGTGTAATCCTCCCCGCACGTACCCACGCCATTATGGCGGCCACAAACACCGGAGAGTAATTAGTTCCTCTTTGTTTCCACATTATTATTATGGAAGGATATCGCATAGTTTCTAAATTATGATCGAACGCTGCAACTAGTAAATAAATCAGCGAGTCATTGATCTTTGTTAATAAATAGTAAATAATGTTTATAAAAACATTCCTCTTGGAAACAGTACTTCGCATGAAAGAAAATTTCGGGAAAAATTTATTCCCGATTTATTCACAATTGTGTGTATTTATATTTGAAATAAATTTGAGGTTGAAAGAGTTTTAAAAATTATATCTTAATTATAAAATAAATCAACTTGTTTCATTCGAGAGAGCGCTCTTTCTTTCGTCTGTGTATCATAGTGGTAGTAATAGTGTAGTTTTCAATTTATAGCTTAATTATGCTAATGATTTCATGTGTAGAAAATAAAAGTCTTTTCTACTAGAATATATCATGGCGATGAGTTTTCTCACTTTTGTTGTTATTTTTCTAGACTTCAACAATAACTGTACACACATTACAACTTCGACATATGAATTAAGTGACAATTAGCTGAAGTTCTTGAGATGAACGACGAGGAATTCTCTCGCATCAAGTTTGTGCTTTATGTCACATACGAAGAAGAAATCATCGAGATGTCTTCTTTATTCTCCACTTTTAAACGGATTACATATAACAAGACATAGAAGTAAAAATTTTCTGAAGGTAATTAATTTCAAATATTTTTATAAACTTTAGAAAATTTAATCCAAGAGATTACTAAGTAACTTTTATTCGAAAAAAGTAGAATCTCGTTTGTTTTTAATAATCGCAGAGATGAAAATATATAAATATGCGCATTGCAATATACATTTCGTGACGCCTTAACATAATGCTGTAAGTTTCGATTCTGATGATTACATTTGGAAGTATATCGTGCGAACACGTAATAAATTTCTCGAATTTCTATTGAAATCTTACGGACTTTTCCAATTTAACGCGAGAGTAGTCATAACAAAAGCCATTGGCTTAATGAAAGTAAAATTACTAAACGCCCCGTTTTAATTGCGTGTTTATGAGTTTCCCATCTCCAAGCGCGAAACGCCAAGTTTCTAGCACATCATCTAAACATGGAAAGTTGTTTGTCGAATCACAAAGAGTTGAATCTGCTCCATATCGGATTCTTACGTACGCGGCGCAGATAAGAGTGTTCTGCGTTTTATTGCTAGGTAGAAAACCATTTATTAATTAGGATAAAATAGAAGCAGTTCTGATAAGAAAGCCGCAAAATATAACAAAAAGTTTCGATCTCTCAGATAATTATACCTACCGTATGATCGTAACGGAAAAGGTGTGGTTCGAAGACACGTTTGAAAAAACGCGTAGATCAATGTAAAAAATTCCGAGGTTCTCCGCGCGATCGATGTAATGATATTTGGTCTAACAACAAATCAGCTGTTTCTCTCATGATCGCACATGCACAGAACACAGGTTTGATCCGGTCGGAATATTAATGGCGACGCACGTAACATCTCATTTATTCGCCGGCACTGTAGTCAAGTAATAATATATTAACATCAATTTTTGTAATGGTACCTTTTGATCAAATCAGCTCCTTCGAGAATACATTATTCTGACTATTATAAAACATTACAGTTTGCACTTACAATCTCTCTCACTTTCGTATATGCATAATCGCGAGTTATAATGCAATATATACATACATAATGTCGCAAGATTACACTATTTTCTTCTAGTTATAAATATTTTGACCGATTTGAGAAATCGATCTTTCCTTAGGTAAAAAGTCATGAGAAAATTTTCCATAGTTTTAAATTCTTAAAATAAATCTTAGTTTATGAAAAACTCTTTATTCTCAATCACGAATTATTCGAACGTCAATTACTGAATGTCATTTGCGTTTTTGCTGCAAAAAAAAAAACGTTTTTGCTTACAAAGAATAAAACGTTTATGATATACTTTTTAGAAGTTCAGCAAATATCACTGTATTAAGTATTATCGGCTTTTAAATACAGATATAAATAGTACACATTATTTATTTATGTCTATTTTTTAAATTTATACTCCATTTAATGTTAAAGAGCCTGTAATTTATAACTGCTCATGATTTATGTAAATTGGGCTGGAATAATTTATGATAAAATATGTATCTGACATATCTTAAACATCTCTAATTAATAAAACATTTTCTTTGGCGGCAAGGATTAGATATTGTAAATTAATTGAGCAAATACATCGATCATATTAGCTGGAAGATTAATGATAATCCGAGCACATTCCGTTGATTTGCTTGCAGTTTATAGGTTTCTAATATATAACTTCAGGTTTCTAATAAAATTAATAAAAAGAATATGGGATATAAATACAATTAAACAATGGATGTGATTCAAAATATATTCTTTATTCTTTTATAAATCCTAAATCATTTGCTCGAAAATACATCAATTATTATATCCATCTTTACTCTTTGCATAAACCGCGTTTACAATACCTGTTTCTTGAAAAAAAAATTTAATCTATAAATGTACATCTCTTATATGAATCTAAAATTTTCTTAGATATTCACACTTTCGAATTATACGCATGACTGCACAAAATGATGCTAATAATCGCTAACCGCTACGCCCGCGAAACTTCTCTCCTAATGTATCTCTGATTTTTGCGTTTCAATCGATAACCGCAATTCTTGATGAAAGTGTCAGTAAATATTTCTAATCGCGTTCAATGCTTTTCTTTCAGATTCAATTATTGGCAATAATTCAACTGAAATTGAAACGGCGTTTCCCATCGAAACGAAATCCGTAAGCTGCGCTATTCGGTGCGTCGACCAGCGCAGGATTTCGATACTGATGAAAGGATCCGTGAAGATGAGGCGGTCTCACGGCGTTTTGCTCCTCGTCCTGCGTACCTTTCAGGTAAAACGCCTCGAATTGACCCTCGGGCAAGAGAATATCTTTCAGGGATTTGTCGTCCGGATCATATGCTGCCACGACGATAATTAACGCGACGAGAAGGCAAAAAATCTGCGATAATAAAATATTTTATATTTATCTGGAGCGTAAAAAAATTCTCTAAAAAATTTCTTGAAATTTCAATAGAATTCAATAGCAGAATATCTGACAATCTGTACATTAAAATGCGAATAAATCCTATTACGATCGTCACTATTGGACGTAACGAATAATTAAATGAGTGACAAATAGCAATAATTTTCGATAAATATATACGTACTAATAAAATGTTTCCCTCGCTCCATGTCATTATTATTTTCCGTTCCATTTCCTCGGTGATATCTTGCGCGATCAAGATGAACTGAAGTGGCAACTAATGTGACGTGATGTCGTACAGTGATGTTGTTGCCGTATAAATCTCTCTTGGCTAAATCAATGCAACAGGGAAAGCGATAAATCGGGTCATTCGTCAGATTAATTGCATGTTGTGCCGCGTGGCATTATCGCGAATAGATTTGCAATTAACTACGAATGGAAAAAAAGGTCGCGTTTGATTGTCCGTAAAGTGCATTTCCGCTGGACGCTAATGTCAAGGTACTCGGAGAGTACGTGGATTGAAAATGTTGCGTGTGAAATGTGAGCATCGCCTCGATTCGCAGGATAAATCTAGAGTAAAATACATCGTGTCTCTAATAATAAGCCTTTTCCGTAAAAGCGAGTCTTAAGAGAAAATCAAAGTATAAGAGAAGCAAGAGATCTCGCGTGTATAACATATCAAAATCTGGTGAAAGAGCCTAATCTAATTTCGAAAATTTCGAAGTAAAAAGGAATATTGAAAAGAGAGATCACGTTAGAGAGAGGAATATTCATTTGCCGAAAGAAAAATCGACTTGCACGCTTCGTTTTACGTATTTATTTATGCTTGGATCTTTAAATGTAGATGGATGTAATTGCAAACGCATTGTAAATTGCTCGAAATAACGATATTGTCATGTACATCATTATAAACATGGTTCTCTCTAAGGGATGTCCACTTAAACAAGAAAAAAAATTTTACGATTGTCCTCCATTCTCATTTATGTATACATATATACGTGTACCTTTACCGCTCACTTATTGCGAAACAAACTGTTAACGAAATGCAAGTTCTTTCATCGCGCACGTCCAGACAATACGAAAGTCTAAAAAATACCTAAAAAACGTTGGGAAATATATGTCTCCTAAAACATTTTTGCAATGTATATTTAAATTAATATTAAAATACAATAGAAATGTTTACATCAGTCGCTGTATATCTCTTAATCGTGTAAAAACCGTAAAAAGCCTGTGTTTTTAACTGACAATTTTTATGAATATTTAACTGACGTTAACAATCACGCGAGAGAAAAATCATGTTTCTCCATCGCTTTCTTTCTTTTACACGAAATGAGAAGAAGCCACTAAAATATTGAATATTTATATTCTAAATATTGAATATTGAATATGCTGTGAACTAATCAATTGTATCTCTCATCGCCCCGTAGGTCTAGATGACTCGTCAAGATAAAGCATCAGTAAATACCCGTAAAACGGCGTTTACGTAAAAGCCTATCCAATTAGGGATCACGATGATCCGCGGAGCACGAAAGCGAAAGTATTTAAGCAAAGCGTAACGAAGCAAAGCGTCTCGTCTCGAGCCATTTTAAACACCTCGAAGCCAACACCCACAGATTGATCGACTTGATATCGGAGATACCTTTATGTTTTCGAATCACAGAAAAAATAAGCAAAGTGTATATAGCTATATATAATCCAATCTAATAAAAAAAAGAAGCGCGTCATTTACCAAAACTTTTTCCGTAGAACCAATTTCACCGATCATTGTGTCAACAGATCACCGTTCCCTCCATCTGGCCGAAGTGATACTCGACAATTGAGAAGAATCAACGTGTTGCAATCTAAAATTAAAATAAAACAAAACATGTTAGTCTCGGATAGTGTCAAGCTCCGTCCATCCGGAGCTTTATATCCGGAGTATTGTATTCTTTAGACACGTGCCTAGGTAAACGATACCTCCGAGAAATCGCGCGCACGCGTGGACTCTCGCGCGGAAAGACTTCGAAAGACTCAGCGACAAGTATCGCCAGGAAAAAGTGAAAGCCAGCAGCGGCGTCGCCGCTCGCGATAAAGGCGAATTTCAAGCGTCACCGCTTCGCATCGGCGCGCCTTCGCGGCCTTGTCGCGTTCCTCGTCAAAGTGGAAGTGTCGCGTCTCGCCGCCGTGTCCTCGTCCGCAAAAACGGAAGTCGATGAAAGTGGAAAACGAGCCGAGCGGCGCCGTGTGCGCGCGGCTTTGTTTTTTTTCCACGCCAGACACTCGCACGCTTTGCGATTGACGTATTTCTACGGCTAAACGACAGATTTTTTCTGTTTGATTGACATTTTTTAAACACGCTTTAATCCTGTAATATCTGTTTACCGACCACTCGTGATTTACGCTTAGATTAGAAGTAATCGAAAATGATTGTATGTTTAATACGAAGAGATCGAGAAGAGATCTCGGCAATTAAATAGAGCCTTGTCGATGAGAAGCTGCATTCAACTTTAATTTCTTGATTGAAAAATGATGAGAAAACAAAAAGATATGAGGCAGATATAATTATGAATTATCTATGGAGCATATATAATTATGATTAGAATCAAGAAAATATAATATATTATAATAGTACTTCCTATATTATAGTAGTACTATAAGAAAAATATACTATATTATAGTAGTACTTCCTTAGCAATAAAAAATAAAAATAGAATCAATTTAAACACAATTCCATAAGAAACATGTAAAAAGCACAATGCAACAATCGGCAATTATTGTTGTACATTGAATCATTATCATTATTATCAAAAGTATATCAATATAATATACTCTTAATAATATTACATATATTAATAATTATAGTGTATATTGTAATAGTAATATATATATTATTTTAATACTTTGCGTGTGGCGGTTACACAGAGAAATCGGAATAATAAAGTTATGTCGTGAAATATATCGCAACGTTAGATCATAAAGAGTTAATGATATACTAGATCGCTATTATTAAAATGCTAATTGTTGACTTTTACTTTATAAAAGTTGCTGTTGAACAACTAAATGTACGGATTACAACTTGAGATAAATGGTTCACATTGCTGCGTTATGTGAAGCTGATACTATAGAGATCAATATCAATTGTGTGTTTTGCAAGAGATTTCATTTACATATATATATATATATATATCTCCGCGTATGCTCTTAATAACATGAAATACGGTATTTATTTGCAGATGTTTGGAGAGCGAGTATAGAAAGTAATATGGAGAAATTACTGCTGCAAATTAAAATGCTAATTATCGCCAATCTTTTTCGCATTAGTGACCGCGCGACTGATCGTTTCCAAGTCAAGCAGGAAAATCTCCGAATGCGAGTTTATGAATGCGCGACTAAATAACAAGGGAATATCGCTGACTGCTGGAGCTCTCGTAAGTTCAAATGAAATTTTTATAGTGACTCGAGAAGGATGTGAATATTATTTATTCGAGAAGAAATACTTGGATTTAAAACATATAAGACATTTAAGACATATAAAACATCCTCGTTTTTAAATCCCTGATACATCGAGGTGATGAATTTTCTTTTATTTCGCATTTAATCGATACTGGCGTGTTAACTACGAATTGAGAATAAAGGAAGAAAATTTTTAATTTGTTCTTAAAAGTTAATATATTTCTTATGTCTTTTAATATGTATAAATAATAATTCGATGTATAATTTTGAAAAAACATATGGTTCCCTCGTTTTACCTTCTGAACGAAGGACAGTAGATCATAACAAATATACATTAAATTAAATGGTTAAAATTTAATTCTATTGTAAGTATAAAAGTCATTCACAATTTATCTTGTTAACAACGATGCATAATTTTTTTGTGAAATATTTCGATATAAAAGTTGTAGTACTGTTCAAAGTATAATAATATATGATTGAACAGAATTATTTTACAAATTATGGGTTTGAATTATATGAGGTATTATGAATTTGAATGTGTTTATATGTTTATAAAAATATGAAATATGAAATATGTGAAACCCAATCTTAAGAGAAATAAATGAAAGATGAACATATTAAAGAACTGTTTCCATTGTTCATTACGATCATAATACAATCATCATAATATATGATTATATTTGTTTTGTCGGTATAATCCTATATAGAAAGAGATATACGCTTTATCTTTAAATATTATATTTCTTTGGATAAAATATCATAATTACCAGAGCCGGATTTACCTATAGGCGCATTATCTCGGGCCGTAAATTCAGGGGCCTTTAACAACTCGCGTTATTATAGAAAATAATAGTAAACATTGCAACTATATTGATTTAAACATATGATGAATAGACTATATGTATGTCGTTTAAAAAGATAAAAAATATTCTTTTATATATATAAATACAGTGAAGTTCTTGCTGTAATGTAAAAATAAGGCTCACAATGAATCCAATCATGTAAAATTCATTACGTAGTATTCATAATGATATTAATAAAAAACGAATTAATTATATAACAATCAATAATTTTGCGAAATTTAAAGCAAAAAAAAAAAAACATTTATAGATATTAAATATGCATGAATGTTTAAAATAATCTTATATTTGTAATTTGAAAATTAATTAGGCCTAATTCTATTTGTAATATTACGTATGACACATTTATTAAATATATTCATTTTCTGAACCTACTTAAGTTTATGTACTCTAGCACTCCAAAAATATTGCATCCAAAGACCTAGAAAACGTAAATTCAGCCCTGATTATTATTCTTAAGTACTTTTCTCTCAATGTTGTTAACGCAATTGGAACAATATTTTGTTGGGTGATAGTATAAAATTACAAATATTCCACGCGCGCGAAGAGAGAGATGTAAATATACATATATCTATATTAAATATTTATATTTAAGTATGTCTTATATTAAGGAATTCTTACTTACACATATTTTTCGTTACAATTGCAAGAATTGTGTTACATATTATGCAATACAGCATAATAAATTGTAATTCTTGCAATTCTATGTATATGTATATATATATATATATAAATATATATAATCAATTCTCAATTGTTTAATATAAAATGTTTCAATTGTTTAATATGAAAAATGAATATGATATACTAACAAATAGAGCTTTTATAAAAAAACAAATGTAAACAATTAATTACAATAATTGTTAAAGCTCTTATTTTCTCATTATCATTAAAATATGATGTCAGAAGTAAGAATTCATGTGAATTCTTTTTCTTAGAAGAGAGAAGAATATATGAAAATAAATTTATTTTCTCTTGCTCCATCATATATTCGATAACATGACTTGATAAAATACACCAGAAACTTTGTTCTTTATTGTATTAATAAATATGCGTACAACTCGTTTGTATATGTTTTGCAACAAAAGTAGACCTTATAATAATTGGCCAAGATTAACATCATTTATTAATTCGGAAAGAGTCTAAAGAATTTACCAATTTATATTATCAAATATAATGTCAAATATATATTATCAAAAATACAAATATAATATCAAAAATATATATTATCGAATATATAATTTCAAATATATATTATTAAATATAATATATTATCAAATATATGAATAGTGGGGAAATTAATTTATTTCGATATATTTCACAAAAAAGATTGATTTTTTTTCGGCATTAGAAATCAATATAATGTTAATGAGGGACGAAGAGCCTTAAGCCGCATTAAATTTCTCAAATTATTAATTTTCAATACTTTTAGTATCATAACGTCTTCTTTACTAGCGATAAGCAAAAGTTTGAGAAATAATATAAAATTTGATTGTGAAATTGTACAAAATTCTCAGCACTATGAACACAATATATCTGTCCTTGTACACATATAACATACAGAATAATTATACAAAATGGAAAAATTTTGCATAATTTAAAGAATTTTGAGAAAATCAATTTTTATATAAAAACTATGTGATTATATTTAAAAAAACAAGATCAAAATAAAATTTAAAAAAAAATTGTGCAATCGTTATTTCAGATATATCAATATATTTACTGAAAAAAATAGTATCATAAAGCTCATTAAATTATACACATGTGTGCACAAAATTTTTTTCTGATATTTTTCATCGTTTTTCAGAATTATTCTGTATATCAATCACATACATGAACATTAAAATTAATTAGTATTTATGTACACTAAATATTCCTCTATGTAAGTCATGGTTATACGTATCAAAATATATAATTCAGACAGAATATAGGTACGAATCTAATTTTGTCTTTGCATTAGGAGGTGAGGTAAAAGGGGAGAACCAAGCTATCGAAAATCTTCCAAAAACTGCTTGAATTGATTTCCATCTACTATTACGAACCCATCTAGCTTCCTCTTTTTTAAGTTGTTCTATGCCCTGCAACATATATTTTTATGAATATAATTCGTATTCTCTTTTTATATATTCTCACAAAAAAATAATTTAAATGTACATACAGTTTCATCATTCCAAATAGCTTGTAGTTGTGTGCCTAACATCACAGCAGTAAAAATGGCGAATAAAAGTGCCTCGAATGCCAAAAATAACAATAACACTACCGTCGCAGGTGGATTGAACGTGGAGCATTCCCTCCATTCTTGTCTGACACACGTGGTGAATTGTTGTATACACAAAAATAGAGATTGTAGAGATATGCCCGCTATATAAAACTAAAATATAGCATAACAAAAAGTGTATTTAAGATGGTATTGTACAAAAATTTCAATAGATTTACATTAGAAATGTAAATAATTTAAAATGTTAATTTTTGTAATAATTTAAATGTCAATGTTTTGACAAATTTTGATTTTTCTTTGTAAAGATTTATATTACATATAGTGATACATATGTAATTTGTAAAATACTCACAGTAAAAAGTACAAAGTATTTTTGATTATTTTCTCCCACACAATTGTTGACCCATGGGCAATGATGATCCATTTTTCTAATACACCTATAATCAATATTTTAACACAACATAATCAATGCATTGCCCTATCTCACATATACAAACTTAATCCTATCAGCTTACCTTTGGCAAACAGAGCAATGATGTGCCCTGTCAGGCTTGATAGAACAACATTTTGGACACTTAAAGATAACTTGTCCATCTCTAAATCCCATTTGTTGTATCATTTCTTTCGTTGCATTACCTTTTGGTACCGCACCCTATATACAAGAACAAAATACCAAAAAGAGCATAATGTATCTTGTTTCAATATATATCTGTAATAAATATCTGTAATAAATAAACATTAAACCTGATCTTAATTACCGGATCTGTAAACATAGTTCTTAAATGTGATGCAAAAGCCAAAAATGCTAGAGACTGAAAAATGGCCATATTCAGACTGGAATATAATGTATTTATAGTAGGAATAAGAATTACTGCCATTACTACGAATTCTGCATAGATTATCAGCAGCCATGTTAATACAGCACATATGATCCCGCATATGTCCTACAAATATAGAAATGTTACATTAAGATTATATATTGAAATAAATAAGAATATAATGGATAAGTTTGCTTTGGACGCTCATGTTTTGAATGCTTATAAGCATCTCTTATTTTGTTTTCTTTTGCTCTCTAAATTATGTAGTCAAAAGTTAATTGTTGGATTCTAAAAATATTGATTTATTTTTGAATTTCATATAAAATCAATTTCTTTTTTTCCTTATTTAGAACTTTTATATACTCAATTGCTTACGATGTCAAAGCAAATTTTAATTGCTTGCAAAACAAACTTATATCCTCCAATATATAATGCAGAACACATACATTAAAAATTCTATTAGTAAAACTTGCCTTAATACACCAGAGTTTTCCACCACAACATCTATTATGAAAGTCTTTCTCCCTATGAAAGGGCATATAATCATAATCCATTGTTGAAAGTGTTATTCACTGAACATCTGTATCCCTTGTGAAACATAAGGGAGATCACTGACACCTCCACCTTCATACACGCAAAAACTCACAGCCACATTCCTAAAACAAATAAAAGGACACTGATTATAATGATACAAATATTACATTTTCAGCCTTAAGTGAAGCCCGAGCGTTATTTGTCCGATATCAGGATCGCGTTTAATGACAAGATAAATATTTATCAATGTATTATTTGTCAACGATAATGAAAATTTAGATAGTCTCAGAGAATATGGAGTATATTGGAAATGACATGCAAATCTCAATGTTCTCTCGAAGGATGCATATATAAATTGTTTAAATTGAATACTCACATTGTCATGCGACGACATGTATTCGTGATGAACAACAATGTACGATGTCTGTCGTCATATTGCTTTGCGTTGTAGCGTCGCAGAAATGCGTGCACTGTGGATGGAAATTAATTTTTCCCGATAACACCTACAATGTAATTAGCAACGAAGTGGATAGGGTGTGTGTATGGTAACGCGAAAGAAGCTATGAATGTATGAGCACATACGTTCTAATTTGTCGAATTAATTTTCATTTATTAATCGAAAAACAATCACGTATAAAAACTAGCATGACAGCAACTCGTAACTCGTACTATTGAGGAGATAGTATTTCTCCCTTTCTATCTTCTCCCTCGCGTAATCGTTTATTGTAACATTTGTAACTAACGGTTCAAGAAATCATGTAAAAGCGCGATCTGACGATCCGGTTATCACGATATCACGTGCGCAATCTGGGTCTGGGGGATCCGCGAGAGACGCGGAATCGGATATTATCGAGAGCGGAAACCGATCTCATCGTTTCCGAATTCTTGCAAGCGCCACCGGCAGTTTAATAAAGGTGCGAACTCATGCAGCGGAATAGCATAAAGCCCGTATCAGACTACGCATTGACAAGGATTGAAGATTGAAATTTGACCAATCAGGACAAAGAAATTTTAGTCCCTTTTGTCCTGATTAGTCAAATTTCAATCTTTAATCTTCAATCTTCAATTTTCAATGCGTAGTCTGATACGGGCATAATAATTAGCTACCAAACGTTGTGCATTGAATAAGCCCTGATTTAATCGATTAGACTAAAAATTAAAAATGTCCGGCTAACTTTACACCAATATTTTAATTATTTAATTTAAAAAAAACGATAGACCACCAAACGTTTTAATCAAGCTACCAATCATCACCAAACGACTACCAAACGATTAGATAATTTTAATTATTAAAAAGTTAAAGTGGTCCGGCTAACTTTACGGAGCTACAATATTCTGCGCAGACGCTTAACGCTTGACGCTGCCATGTAAAGGTACCTTAAGGATTTCTAGAGTAGAGTAGCGTTTGATCGACCAATCAGGAAGAAGATTACTAAAATTTACCTCATTCCGATTGGTCAATTGACCGCTACTCGAACGAGTGGATTTTCGAACGCGACCCACGACAACGCACCTACGATTGTATGATCGGCGAAGGGTAGGGGGGGGGCCGCCACGGTCATATTGGCTACTTGTGACTTTTAGGAAGGAGTAAAAAATAACCCAACTTTCTTCGTCACTGAGTCCAGGAAAATGCTGCCCTGGAGTATCGTCCATTGATCCCAGCTACGCCGATCGTATCAGCGTGATCGCGGCACCGCGCCGGGCCATCTCATCGCTCGCAACGAAGGCTGTGTCTCTCTCTCTCCGTGGAAAATGGTGCGTTCGCCCCCGGGGGCCACGGTCAGCGCCCACCATCGACTTTCAAAATTTAAGCGCTCATAGTCTCGTCGCGCGCACGTTACTCACATTTCTTCAGCGTTACATCACTTATTATTTCTCTGCCGCAGAGTTTCTTCGGTTTCGGCCAATCGGCCGATATAGAGATCACGTTGGACGGTGCTGAGACGCGAAAGACCGCCGACATCAAATCCGAGGATGGCAAGAAAGAGCGGCACCTGCTGTACTACGACGGCGAGACCGTGTCCGGCAAGGTAGGGGGATTCTGCTCCACCCCAATACAACGTCGAGTCAACGTTGATCGTTTATCTGGTTCACGAAAACTGCAATTTGACAGGACTGAAAACTGTTAACGTGTTTGCATGCAATGTGTTCAGTGCGTTGAAAACTATGTGACTGTTCCATGAAACTTGAACAAGTACTATATCTATCATGCATAGACTGTTCGCTAATATACTTGGTGAATCGTCAATCATTAAAATTTCATATATATATATATAAAATTTATTTTATATATAAAAAGTTAAAACATAAATCTCTCTTGCAGCTTTATATTTTATATCTGTTTGCAGATTAATTTATTATTAATAGAAGATGCAACTGCAGAGAAATATAGACAATATATTTTATAGTTATATGTATTTCTTAACAAAATTTATGCCATGCTTTTTAAACTGTTCTTGTGAACTTTGCATTTCATTAATTATATATAATTATTATAAATAGTATTTATTATTGTATTTTCTTTGATATTTTATATTATATATATGCTTTTATGAAGTACAAATTTCTTATTAAATTAATGGTTGCAGATCAACATCAGTTTACGGAAAGCTGGTAAATTGGAGCATCATGGTGTTAAAGTAGAGTTTATTGGACAAATCGAGCTATATTATGACAGAGGTACCCACCATGAGTTTACAAGCTTAGTGAAAGAATTGGCAAGGCCAGGAGAATTAACACACAATACAGTGTACACATTTGAATTTCCAAATGTGGAGAAACCATTTGAGAGTTATACTGGCTCCAACGTGCGACTAAGATATTTCTTGAAAGTGACAATTGTACGAAGACTTAGTGACATTGTTAAAGAACTCGAATTAGTTGTGCACACTCTTAGTTCCTATCCAGATATGAATAATCCCATTAAGATGGAAGTTGGAATTGAAGACTGTTTGCATATCGAATTTGAATATAATAAAAGCAAGTAAGTTAAATTTAACAAAATATTTGAGTTGTCGCAATGCTTCTCTAAATTTGTGGCACTAACTACTCCTTTTTTTTCCAGATATCATTTGAAAGATGTAATTGTTGGCAAAATATACTTTCTTTTGGTTAGAATAAAGATAAAACATATGGAGATAGCAATCATCAAACGAGAAACTACAGGATCTGGTATGTTTTAAATAACATAACACTTAATTATAAAATGTAGTAATACATATTAACTATAATTTTCTGCAGTTTTGAATGCATGTAGAATAGCATGAGGCAAAATTGGAATGCGAGTTTTGGTTTAACAAGTGTTTTTCTTTATGATATTCAGGCATACTAAGACAATAATCAGAATACATATTTGCAGGTCCTCATACGTTTACCGAAAACGAAACTATAGCAAAGTACGAAATTATGGATGGTGCACCTGTTCGAGGAGAGTCCATTCCTATAAGGGTATTTTTGGCTGGGTACGATCTAGCGCCTACAATGCGCGATATTAATAAAAAATTTAGCGTTAGATATTATCTGAATTTGGTTCTCATGGACGAAGAAGATCGACGATATTTCAAGCAGCAAGTGAGTTACCTGTATACACATTATACTTTCTTTAAGATTTTCTTTGAAATTATTATATTTTTTCTTTTTATGTTTAAAACGATATTATTGCTGTGCATTTTTCCTCGTGTCTTATTTTATATATTCTCGTATTCGTAGGAAATTACGTTGTGGAGGAAGGGTGAAAAAAGCAGAAAATCACAAACGGCCTCGCCACACATGCCGTCGCATTTAGTGTCGGCCGAGACGGGATTCCCGCAAGGCGCTCCTCAGAACGGTCCACCGTCAGTACCGCCTGGTTCCGATCAACTGCCAACGAGTAACATCACGAATGTAGAGGATACTCCAGCGCCAATCGAAGGCATGACACGAGAAGAAGGAGACGGCGAGGGAGAGAAAGAAGGTGGTCCAGAAAGTGATTGAGCCCTTGCATGTAGTTCTGTCCCTGGTGTCAATTATGGCCCAGATTAAATGAGAATGTTAAGTATGGCTAAAATGTATAGCGCAAAGGGATTAGCTTAAAAAAAAATATCTCCCTTATCGAGCATGTTGGGAGATTTGTTTTTATTGAAGAAAACAGCGGGATACATAAAAGACCTGCTAGTAAAGTTGTAAATATTTTGGATACCATAAATATATATATACATACATATTGTATATATATTTATATGTATGTATGTATGTATGTATATATATAATTGAGAGCGAATGATTTATAATTAGTATATTACTGATCAAAATTATAATACTATCGAAAAATGAATTAAGAAAATAGAAAAAGATTTTGCCATTTTGGAGAGAAATAATTTCTAGATTATATTTTAATGAATTGCGTGTTGCAAATCACAAGTATAATATGAACAAGCAGTACGAATATTTCTGAATGGACGGCTTACTAATCAAATATTAAACAACCAACGGTACATTTTGCAAAACATCTGAATGTTACAGTGTTCTAAATGTTTTATACAGACAATTCCGACCCGCCTACTGTATAATTCTGAAAAATCCGAAGTCTCTCTTCATGGCAGCGTCATATGTTATGCAAAGAGAGTTTATAAATGCTGAATGGATATAATATACTCACAAAGGCTGCCCCATATTAATCCGTTCACCTAGTCTACGAGTAATAAATAAATAAATGAAGAAATAAGAGAAAAAACTACTTATGTGTATGATGCACGTTTTTTGAAAATAATTTATATATAAGTACACATATATACACATGTGACATCTGTCAAGCGAGCAAAATCGCACTTATTTTTAGAACGAGTTTGTATTTAAGAAAACAAAAAAAAGGAAGATGTCGATTGTTGCATGATACGAGCCATAGATTCTCCCTTGAGTTTAGCGCAACTATAGGAATCATTTCATAAAGTAGACTTTTATATGCAGAAGTGTGTACATTTTGCGTAATATATTAATCTTCCAAATAGACAAATTATGATATCTGCTCAAATCAATATGCCTTTCTGAACACGGGAATGGACTATGATAGATTAAACAATGGGGTAGCCACCTCATGTATTTATAAATATATATACATAGTATACATACATATTGTGCAGTATCATGTGTGTGTGTGTGTATATATATATGTATATATATACACATATTCGACTTCTCATTCTGGCAATAATAATTGATTGGATTGACACATTATCTCACAAAAATAAAAATAACACAATAAATTTTTATAATTAATTGTATATCTTTTGAGAAAAATCGATTTCGAATGTTTAGAGTAATGTGCGTTTGTTACATTATATGAATTATTTTTCGTGTGGACAGTACAAAACACCAATCAAAGAGAAATTCCATATTACCTTACTTTTCTTTTACGAAATTATTTTGGTGACTATACCATAATTTGGAGAGTCGATACTCTATATATATACATATATATATGTAAACATACACATATTTATGTATGTTTATATATATATGTAAACATACACATATTTATGTATGTTTATATATTTACATATTTATATATTGTAATATCACATCAATAGTCATGAGCAGACATACTTTCTTCCATCGTTACAGTGAAATATCATGACGATGAAAGCAATGCTTCTGCAAAAGAAAAACTTATCGTTTTGTACTGTTCTATATCATGGGAATTTAACTGTAAAAAGAAGAACTTTATCAAGGGACATACATAATATTAGATGATATATATATACACATGTAACTAACGCTCGAAATTTTGTTTTGTGTAAGTTGAAACTTTATATAATCCATACCTTTGTTATTTGTTGACTGTAAAGAATGAGACTGTAAAAGAGATAGAAAGGGAAGAAAAAAAAAGGAGGAACGTGTAAGTAAAAGGAGGAAAAATTTATTTGTGAATTATTTGACATGATAAATATTGTATGTGTATATATATATATGTATGTGTGTGTATATATATATGTATATATATTTACATACACAGATATATACATATTATCATGTGCGGTATTCAACTAGTTGTATATTTTAATGCCCATATGAATATTATATATTGTATACAGTGCATATGTGCATACACATGTATATCGGAAACTTATAGCTAATTGATTTATATATGTATATATATACTCAGTCCAGTCTTCACAATCCTGCTCAGTTTTACATAACTTTTTAATGTATTAGAATTAGGAAATATCATTTATTAGCGAGTGAAATTATGCATAAATTTTATAAAATTATGTATATCTCTGTATTGAAATAGTTGTCGAAATTGATACTTTTGCGCCTTTTTATTTTTATCAAATTGTTTTAAAGTGTAATGTGCAACGCGCTTACGCTCGATCGTAAAATGTAGAAATTCATATAACAAATAAAGAAGAATCTGTTGGTCGATTTTTCCTTAATAAGAATATAAGTCATCTATTATGTTACAGTTTAATAAAATGATATATACGCTGTAACATGTGTGAAAGCTATACTGGGTATCAAAATTTTGTAGAAAATTGTCATTAGCTATATCTCGTGTAAAATTCCTCAATAATTAGCGACTTTGTGTATATAACAGTGGTATACAAATTTTTTAAAATAAAGATTTCATGTGTTATGGCATACAAGTGCACCGATTCGCTATAGATTTCTGTAGCCTGTAAAATTCTTAGCCAATCGGCACGTTTGACTCATCGTACGACGCATGCGATATTAGCCTTACACAATTTGCCAACAGAATTCTATCTATAAATTGTTACTTCAAAGGTTGATGTTTTTCAAAAACTTCGGATATACCAAATAAATCAGATATTATGTCAAGAAAAAAACATAATATATCATATATTAAGCCGAACGAGCCGAAATTTCTACGAGAGTTGAAACAGCAAATCGGATATAAAGAAGGACCCACTGTCGACACAAAAGTAAGATATTTCTAATATATTATTTGCCACAGATTTTTAACAGTATGCAACTTTGTTTATAACCTTTGTTTATAATATTTTGTATGTTTTATAATTAACTAATATTAAAAAAAAAATAGCTTCAAATATATTTATATTATTGGTTAAACTAGAGAGAAGTATTACCGGAAGTCTCTGACGATGAAAAGGAAGAGTTAACTGATGAGAAGCCTGTTGTTGTTGTATTAAATTCTGGTGATTTAACAGCGGAAGAAGCAAATGCCTTCAAAAAACAGAAAGAGAAAGGTATAAGTTGTTCTAAATTATTTTGAAGTAGCCAATGTAATATTATATTATATATAACAATGTTTAACTAATTATAGTTATGAATTAATTTGCAGAAGAAAGTAATGCCCCGGCTGATCTATCTAAGAAGATTATGTTTCGCAAGACTAAAACAGAGTCAGACAAATCTGATACAACTGCCACAGATCAACCTGTGAGGAAAAAAGCAAAAAGGGACAAGCAAAAGATTGTCTTATCCTTTGATGCTAATGGCAGTGATGACGACAATGTTGGATAGCATAAAATATGAATTCTTTTACTTAAATGTCTTATATGTAAGTAAATTTTATTGTAAATATAGTAAATTGTTTAATACATATTATATATCACAGTTATATGTGAGAAACTGGTCATAAGAAAATCGATTATTTTTTATTTGTGAGAGAATGAATGAGTAATTGATTTATTGTTAAAACTTTATTAGAGATATAACTTCTTGAAATTTACAAAGATTATGTACAAAGATAGCAAATGTACATAGTCAAGAGCAAAGGCAATATGAACTGGAAATGAGTTATTACTTGTTGCAATAAACATATGTGACATGTTCAATAGTTTAAAAGCAATGACACAGTACATATTTATAAACTAAAAGTTACATATAAGATAATTAAAGAAACTAAGTCGGCTATTTAAGAATTGATATTGAGAAGAGTCAATGCATCTTGAATTTCAATTTTTTATATATTTATATATTCTAGATAAAAAAAAAAAATTGATGAACTGTTATTAGAATCAACAAATCGTGAATTGTGGTACACCGTATATTGTATCATGTATTCGCAATATACATATACGTGTATTGCAAATATAAAAATATCGATCGATATAAAAATTGCTCGTAAAGAAAAAGCTCATTTCTATTTCTCTCCAAGCTTCGATTAATTTAGGTAATAAAAGATACGCTCGTGTAAATTGCAATATCGTAAAGGGCGGATGCTCGATACGGTCCGAGATCGAGTCCACCCCCCATTCACGCCATTTCGATCGCGGATCGCCCTTATTTTTAGGGAAGCATCACTCTCATTGGACACGCACGTGCTCTCGGTCACGTGACGAGCGTGCGACAAGCGTTACTGGTCGTTCGCCGGCCCTTTAACCCACGACGATACGTCATTAAAACGTCGCCGGATCACGTGATCGGCGTCCGCCATCTTGGCCAATTTTGTCGACGGTGGTAAGAGGAGCGGATCGGTGACGTCGCGTCGCGTCTCAAGTAAACACGCGAGTGCACGCAAGAGCGGGTCCACGGCTTTCGCACGAAAATCGCCGACGTACCGCGGGCGACGACGTTTGGGATGAGCCGCCTGTGCCGCCGCGGTTGTTCGCCGAACGACACGGTCAGTGCGAATTTAAATAAGCGCGGCAATCCGACGCGAGACGATTGTGCGTGTCGTCGTGCAGCGATCGCCGTCGTCCACAGGGGGGATGACGATACCGGGGTCGCGCGGCAGCTGTTCGACGGACACGGCACGTCGTGGCCGTCACGGGCAGAGAAATGGCGGGAGCTCCGACCAATTCACGCTCGCGGCCGTGGCATGCGTGCGTGACAGTATGAGTGCGTACGTGTATGTGTGTTGCATGTAAGGACGAGAAAGAAAGTGCGTGTGCCCGAAATGCAAATGCGAGTCTGTGTTGGATCAGTTGGTCTGTCGGATTTTTATGTGCTTTTTTCCCTTTTTTTTTGGGGGGGGGGGCCATGCGATCAGGATCGTATCGTCTTCCCCAGGTGCGTCTCCTCTCTATCTCTCCCCTCTTCTTATCCCCGTCCCTCTAAGCGTGAGATCTGCTTGTACGAGCGAATCCACGTACGTGTACCAACCTCCTCTCGATGCAAGGCCGTAAACGACGGACACGTTTGCATCGGTAAACAATGCCAGGAACCCAAAATGGAGGCTAGATAGGGAGTTTTGATGATAACAGTGGCGTCCAAGTCCTGAGTCGTTGAATTTATTCACGCTAAATCGGTCGACGAAATTATTCTATTTTTTTTTTTCCTTTTCTTTTTCTTTTTCGTTACGTTATAATTGGCTTTGATTTGTAAATCCGTGAAGATAAGAATGATTTCTTATATAACTATGGACCTCGTACATTCCTTATCTACATTCTTTCATTGATGATTCATCGCGATCAATCCCTTTAATGTTTATGTCAATTATTTCTTTCGCTTTTCTCTCTTATTTTAACGAGAATGGAATTTGTAGGTAGAAGAATCGAAGAATCACACACACAAACTAGCATTGTATAACAAGATATTCTCGCATCGTTTATAATAGAATGAGGACACTGGCCTCATTATTTACAAGCTTCTTTTTATTAACATTACTAGTCGTAGGAATATCGACGAGGCTTGAAAAATATATTTTCAAAAGACCTGAAATCGATTTTTTTCGAAAATAATTAGCTTTAATTTAAACTATCTTAATTGAAATTGACAATCGAAATTTTATTATTTATTGTCCGATCATTACTTATTTAAAGGATCCTCATTTTAAATGCTTTTTAAGCGCTAATTTTAAATGCTATTTGAAACGTCAATTTAAAGCGAAAATTCACTCCATGAAAATTGAGATTTTTTTTTTTTTTTTCTAAAATTGATTATTCGCGAGACAATAAACGGTTTATTCGCGTTTAAATACTTGTTAATTGTAGCTTCTATTTTAGCATATTGTCACAATTATCGAATGCACAATACATTTATTGATATTTAATACATTAATTAATTATAATATTGCTCGAAGCTTTAACGCATGATCTCATTAGAGTTAATTATCAGCCCCGGATTGTACAAGAAAATATTTTTTATTTCATTGTTAGAGTGATAAAAGCTTTCCGCAAATGTCGCTGCAAATTTTAAAGGTGTGTTTACCACGGTAAAAGTATAACGGGGAGATTGAATTATGCCTGTTAAACAGATATGGTGAAATCGTGAGAAACGCATATTACTATCCCAACACGTTTGCTTCCTTCTCCGTTGCTTCCCGCCTTAAAGGGATTAGAAACGCCATAAACGCTGTGATTCTTTATTGCTTTTTTTTTCTCAAGAATATCATTTCGAAAAAAAAATTAAAACGACTAACTTCATCATGCGATTAATTGTAAGAATAGTTTCTGTAACGAAAAAGCATTATACGCATTATAATCAACTGTCACAATGTTACGATATGAAAGGAAACAATTTTTTATGCAGATGCAACTATTATAAACGCAAACGATGAAAGGTCAACTCTAGTAGCAACTTTGAATAACGCTTTTAATAAATAACGATTAAAATTGTAGGTTTTGGTGCAAGAATTAGGTAAGTGAATGATGTGGAAGATCCACTTTAGAGATGTAAAGTTGTATTTAAAACATTTTAGAGATCAAAGGACTTATTCTCAAACCATGTTAAATTTTTAAAAAAGGCAAAGCTTTATAAAATATAATCTCTCTTATCTATACATTTATATTCTTTTTAAATATTTTAAATTTGAATATTTTTTTAAAGTATAACAAGTTTGGAAAAATAAACCCTTCAATATTATGGGGTTATCTTATTCTTGCATTGATCCTTTTAATTCTTTAGTTATTGACCTAGAAACTCTCTTATGCAGTTTAAAAGATTTTATTGCAGACATATACATACAAGAAACATCTCTAATAAGTTAACCATTCTTTGGAAATATTTTGCGTTTTGTTTACAGAGAAATATCTAATGTTATACAATGAAAGATTAACTGTCAATATACTTTATAAATATCTTTTTGAGAAAAATATATTGGAAGACAGGATTGTGTAAATTGTTATTCGAGGATTATGGTTCCGCAGCGAGATGTATTTGATCGGTAGCGATTTCCGCGAGCGTTCTCCCGTTATGACAATAAAAAAAAAAAAAAAAAGCTATTTAGCGTGCGGGGATTCGCTCTTACTTAACGGCTTTATTATTACTTTTATTATACGGCATTGATTTTGCGTGTAAACTTGGCAACGCTGTGTGTACCGTCGGCGCATTGTAACGATTTCAACAGTTAAAAGCGTCATGCAGAGAAGACGAGAACCCCGAAATTGATTTCGAACGAGTGCTCGCCCTCATATTTATATATGCACACAAACACGCCTCGCGTTCGCCGCAATCGTCAAACTCTAGAGGAAACGTGGGGCACCGCAAGATGACATCCACAAAAAAAAAACGCTCTTTTATTCTCTTGGATATCAAACTTCAAGTATCATGAAAGTTAATTGTGTATTACGAAAGTTAATTATATATTTAATTAATTGATGGTTATGTATATACATAATTAATTATTAATTAATCATTTTTGACACTTGTTTTCTTATAATTGGAGAACTTGTGGTAAATTAATCTGTTTCAGTCAGAGCAATGAAAATTGAGAACATTTAAGAATTGAAGAATGTGTAGGGTACTACACGTTTCCTTATGACATAATGACATTGTTTAGAAATTAATCTCTTCCCTGTTGGATATACAAAAAGATGATGTTATTAAAATGTAAAATTTTATTTCTTAATTTTTTTAAAAATGTGTGTAATAAAGTATATATATTTTGTGGAAATATATATACACATATTATACCTATTTATTTACGTTTTATTGTACATTTTCCTAAAAGATGTAATAAAATATATTCGCAGTTTAATCAGGGAAGCGATTAATACAGAAATCGTGCAAAAACCAGACGTATTCGATAACGATCTCTCTCTCCTAGAAGACCCTTCCCTCGCTTCTCCTTTTCATCTCCTCTCCTCTCATCGCATTTCTTATATATAAAAAAAAAAAAAAGCAGCTGTAAGACCTAAAGTCTTATCCATTCGCATAAGCCGCGTAAGGTACTAATCGCGCGCCTAATGCGGAGGAATATACCCTGTATATTGCGTTCGTATCTGACGCGCGATTGGTCGATTTTTCTGTGCACATTACGCGGATATGCAGGTTCGTTTGTGGATAGGCCTTTACCCTGCGCTACGATCCTGGGGCGCATAACTTTTTCACGCTTCCCGTCCCGTCGCGCCTGCCCTCTAGTGTGACAATCATCATCGCGATGAATGTGTTCACTCTATTTACAGATTTTGGGAATATAAATCGCGTAATCGTGCTCTATCCCCCGCAACTTGTGAACGATCGAGTAATATCGGAATAGTACACGATACTACTACTGCTGCGCGCCAAGCAAGCGACCCAAGTGGACAATATCATCGTCGCCGCCGACGAGGATCGCGAGTGCACGCGATGATGTTGCGTCGTCCAATGCTCGCGTAGACAACCCCGTTGTCGCCGTCGCCGTGGTGGTCGTCGTCGTCTTCTTCTTCTCGCTCTTCGTTTCTAGGTGAGTATGCATCGCACATACATCGCCGTTGACTCGATCGAGGTTCTTCTCTCAAGAGACAGAGTCGTCTGCTTGACATTAGACGAACAATCGGTTGAGTCGAGGGAGAAGAAAAGAGAGAGAGAGAGAGAAAGAGAGAACGCTAATCATATTTCGAAAGGGACAGAGGTTCTGGAAATTAACCTCAATCTCTGTCTGGAAAAAAGTTACTCCGGATTTCTATCGGCGATAGCTTTACTTCCTGCATCTCGTGCACTTGGAAACGGAACGAATCCGACGCGTGTTCGAAGATTAGCGGATGGTAAAAAGCATAGAGAAATATATAGAGGCGTCACGAGTGGGCTCGATGATGATCCTCGCCGTTCGCCTCGGCCGCATTGCTTCGCGTGTCTTCGTATGTACGTGTGACCGCAACTTAAGTGGCGCGCGGTCGCGTCGCCGTGGACGAGCTTTTACATTCTGACTGATGTATGCGTGTCTCTCTCTTCCCCCCCCCCCCCCCCCCNCTGTCTATCCGCACTCCTGCGCTCTCGAACGCGCGTCGTCGCGTCCTCGGCGCGTCGAGCAGTGCATCGCGTACAAGAGAGTGTACTTTCCGACGAAATCCGTAGATCGTCCTCGAGGAATCTCTTAGTCTCGCGCGCGCGCGCGCGCGCGAGAGAGAGAGAGAGAGAGGGAGAGGACACCTTCTCGCGAGGGTGAAGCGCGCATGGTTTCGCCCTCGGGAGGACGCCGCGCCAGGACGAAGGGCCCTTGCCTTCGACGCGGTAAACATCGCTTGGGTGCCGTCTCGCGTCGCATGCACCTTGTGTATAATCCGCGTGATCGGGACCTAGACAGCCAGACGTGTCGTGCGCGCGAGAGAGAGAGAGAGAAGGAGAGGGGTAAAAGTGTAGAGAGGTGTAGAAGAGCGCGCGCGAAGACGCGACGGTATCTCTTACGATACTCTGCCTAGATCGGGGAGGGAACGATTCTCTTGGGCAGCTTCGAGCGGGATGTATCAGGTTAGTGATACCGTGAGCTACGATAAGAGAAAAACGTGCGCGCGGGATGAAAAAGAGTCGCTTCTCGAAGCACCATCGATGGAGAGAGCCCGATCTTTCCCCCCTCCCCCCCTCCCCCTCCCCGTTTCTCCGCGAGTAGGTAAGCGAAGACCGGCCGATCTGTCAACTTGACGTTCAATCTCGGAAAGAGACAGTCGTCCCGCGATTAACCTCGACGCGTCCCGCGCGCACGTTATAACCTTAACGTACGGACGTTGCACGTTCGATGCAACGTCTCCGGGATCGGCGCCTGAAATCTTCGCCGACTTCCTCTCCCCCTCATCTCTCCCGGCGCAGGAGATGACGAGCCGCGCGGCTCGTTTTCCGCTCCCTTTCCCCTGGACGACGCCGGGGTACGTCGCGAAAAGGACTCGTGAACGTCACGCTCGTGGACGACGACGTACCCGCGGGCGACGTATGTAGTTACCGAAACAGCGGTGCTCTTCCAGATCGATTTGATTGTCCGAGTTGGCGCGAGCATTCTATATAAATATATGTATATAATCTTTGAAACTTTTGTAACTGACAAATCGTTTTATCGTCATTATCATCGTCGTCATCATCGTGTGCAGGCATGTTAGACGCCTCGTTAAAAAGCTCAGCGCGCGCGCGCGCGCGCGCAGTCGACTGCGTACACATATACATGTATATTCCGCGAGGTCTTTTTCTGAGTGTAGGAGGTTGGTAGGTTGAGAGAGGAGAGAGGAGAGAAGGAGAGAGAAAAAGATACGGCGTGCACGGAGGGTCGAGACCAACGACTGGCTGACGGAGTGACTGACTGGTACTCGCGTACGCTAGCGGTGGCTAGTGAACGCAGGTGACTGACTGGGAGACGACGCTAACTGTTCTCGCGCGAAAGCCAGGACTCTCGAATACCCACTCGTTAGTTTGCGCGTCCGTCTGCCTGCCTGCCCGTCCATCCGTCCGTCCGTCTGTTCGTCTGTTCGTCTGTTCGTCCGTCTGTCTGTCCGTCCGTTCGTCTGTCCGTCCGTACATCCGTTTGCTCGTCAGTTTGTTCGCGTGTGCGCGCGTGCAGCACGTCCGTCCGTCTGTTCGTCTGTTCGTCTGTTCGTCTGTTCGTCCGTTCGTCCGTCTGTCTGTCCGTCCGTTCGTCTGTCCGTCCGTACATCCGTTTGCTCGTCAGTTTGTTCGCGTGTGCGCGCGTGCAGCACGACGGACTCGTTCACGACGAGGATTAAGAATTAAAGGGGACCGCTAAACGGGACTTTGAACGACGTTCCGGAGCCTCGGACGACGACGCCGTCGTTGTCGTTGTCGTCATCATCATCATCGTCGTCCGTCGTCGACGTCGCGTTCACTCGAAAGCCGCTCGGAGACCTCCCTTCCTCTCCCCCACCCCCTTCCAGCTCGGGACGGCTGGTCGGAAGTTTGTTGGTTATGGGAGCGAGAGCGGACGCAAGTGCGGAATTCGCAGCGCCATTTTGAAAAATTCGGCCCCGCTAAAAATTCCTCCCTCCCGCACCCCCGCCCGCCTACCTGCCGCGAGGAGGTTGAGAGCGTGCGGCAGAGCGCTTCGTCTCGCCTCGCCTCCTTGCGCCGTCGATTGTCATCAGTGTGGTATCATTAATTGTTTAGATCGACTGCGCGGCGAACCGCGGTGGACTCATGGAAGGCACGTTGGAGGAGCCTGGTATTAAGGACTCGTCTAGGAGCAGTCCCGACAGACACTTGAAAGGTGAGCATGCCTATTTCGCGGCTACACCTTGGTTCTTCGGCCTCTGGACACTTTGGCGGGTTATTGAATACTCTCGAATTTGAATCTTCTGGGTTTATAGATCTCTTGTCATTGGAGTTGTCTATGTTGCCATGTCACAGTGTAATTCCTATAAGAAGTGGATCTAGTCATTTAATATACCCTTATATATCATATGATTTGCTAATTGGTAATTGTATGTAACTTTTTCTTTCATGTACATTTTACGATTTATTACCAACTTGAAAATTTGTGCTAGAATGATTGGAGAGAATTATATTGTATGTCTTATTGTATAATTGTATAATTTTTTGTATAATATTTTGCAGTTTATAACTGCACAGTTATTATTGCTTGCGAAAAATAGTGATTTTTTGTTGCATATGTTTTGAATTAAAGTTTTTTTCAATTAGGAAAGAGAGAGAAATACTAACTTTCTTTAATTAGAACTAATTTATATGACACATATGTTTGTCATATACACACATCATTGTTACCATGCTGAGAAAGGGATTATTTATCTTGTAAATAATAATTATATATATAAATTAAATATTTCATGATTACTTGCAGATATGATTATTCCAAATGGTGTCAACGGAAACTATAGCGCTGACAACGAAGAGTACATGGATATTAGTGACAATATAAGCAAGAATATATCAAAAGAATTTGTCACGGAAGATGAAGAGGGTGACGAAGAAGATGGGGATGATGAAGAGGATGGGGATGATGACGAGGATGGTCAAGATGAAGGAGAAATCGAGAATCAAGAAAAAAAAGATGAAGATAGTGAGCAAAATGAAGCAATAGGTAACTATAGTCAGGAGGGTGAAATATTTGACTCGAGAAATGACTTTAAAGTATCCAAATTGTCGGATGGTGTCAGTGAGACGAACAATTCTAGTGAAGTGTCTAAAACTGCATCTGAGTGTAAAAACACATCTTGTGAAGCTATGGAAGTAGACGAACAGAGTAATAACTCTGATGTCGAGTGTCTTGATGAAAGCATTACGGAAATACAATTGGATAATGACGATGTGTTTATTTCGAAAAAAATTATCGAAAAGCAAGATAATGATATGTCGTCAAACTGTAGCTGTGACAGTAGTGAACTTGCTGACAGCAGCATGGAGAAGTCGGATATCAAGCTCTGCGAAGAGAATGGAAGCTGTGACAGTCCAGATATCGAAGAAATAACAGATAGCGCAAAGAACAATGGTCATAATGCTTCAGATCCACGTGCTCTCAAAGATCCTACAAAACAAAGAAAACCGCGAAAACAATTAGATCTTAGTAATATTACGCCGAGAAGAAGTTCGCGCAATATTAAACGAACAAGCTACATAGAGAAAGAAATAGAAGAGGAAGTAGACGACGATGGATCTGATATAGAAGAGATTAAGCCAGAAGATCCATTAGCTGGTATCGACAGTAAGGACAAGGAAAACTCTAAACTGAAATCACCAGTGAAGAACAGTAGTAAAACTACCATCGTTGTTAACGATACTAAGCGTCTGGTGGAGATCGCCGCTGGTAGTAAATCTATCAAGGGTGGAAAGAAAGAACCTACATTAGTCATAATAGATACAAATTCAATTCTTTCAGGACGCGGTGGAGTCCCTGTGAGTAACAGCAAGCCTCATCATTCTATCTCCAATTCTAGCTCCTTTTCAGTTGTTCCGGTGGGTGGTATGACAACACAGACAATGTATCCCAATATGAGGACGACCATCACACCAGTACCAATGACTTCGAAGACGGCACAACTGAGTCCGAAAACTAGTAGTATGACTACGGTTACGCCGACAGTACCGCCGATTTTACCGACACTGACCGATGACATGTTTGTGGTTGAAGCACCATCCTTCATAGTACCTTACGTATACGAGAAACCACCTTTAAGACCGTTAAAAGAATTTGTCGCCAAATTGGAGAAAAATATTGAGGAGAGGGAAAAGGAAGAGAAGTTGAAAAGAGTCGTCGACGAAAATAAGGATAATGAAGAGCATAAGGAGGATTCTTTAGATATTAATAAAAAAGGCAATGAAAAGTCTGATGAGAGTGAAAGCGAGGGACGAAGCAAGAGAGAGGGAGACGACAGAGGAAGTGACAATTCAATAGACCTGACCGAGCATGGATTTAGTAGTATAAGTGACAGACAAGGCGAACTAAGGCAAGATGACAGAAATAAAGTACCGACATACTTCGATTTGCCATTGGGCAAGTTTTTCATGCAGATCGGGATGAATCTTGTACAGGAGTTTGTGCAAACTGATCTCTTACGGACTCAAAAGCGTAAGCAAGGCAAGGGTAGCACATCGGTCGAAACTCAATTAGCTATAAATTCGCTTATCAAGAATCTAGAGTTTAGTAAAGAGAATAACGAACCATTCCATTTAGAGATGAAGAAATGTGAGTTCTGTAGTTTTAAAACAGAATCGACATTAGTCATGCAGCATCATTTAGAGACTCCACATATGCGCAACTATGTTTACAAGTGTAACTTCTGTCCGATGGAGGTTCGTAGTCCCCACGATATTCTATATCACATGGAGGCAGAGCACAATACTCGCGGTAGACTGGAGCGTGGCCCGGCTTTCCATCAGTGTCCAAACTGTCCGTTCGAGGACAATCAGAAGGGCAAATTGACGCGACACATTCTCGCCTGTACGAAGAAGTTCAGACCGGAGAGAAACTTGGAGCCTGCCGCGGACTGGGAGCCGCCGGCTAAAATACCGAGACTAAATCGTGCGCGACCCGTCGGCCCGACTAATCCGAATGCGCTCGCCGCTATGGCGATGAGCGCTAAGGGGCCGCAACCGCTGCTACCAAAATTACTACCAGCGCCGATCACAGGTCGTGGAAGAGGGCGACCGCCGATGCAGCCGAGATATTCCGATCTGAAAACGTTGCGGCCGGGTGCCACTGCAATGCGGCAAGGTAAATTTTTGTAAACACATACAATATAATATGAGAGAATATATTTCTCATACAGAGCAATTTTTATATATTATACAATATTGATGTAAATCGTATTTCAGACAATGTTGCAGGAATGATGTATCGTCCTACATCTTCCGGTTTATTGGTACCCACGTCATACCAGTTTGGTAGTAATCAAATATTCCAGGTAAAAATAGCATTTATTTTTTATAAATATATACTCTTTGCTATGTATACGCAAACACTAACAATTAAACTTACCGACGAATTTTGAGAAGTAAAATTCGATTGGCCAAAATTGAAGCGGACTAAAAGTCGTAAACTCGTTTTTCATAGAAATCGAAGAGAGAGTATGTTGCAATAAATGAGCGAAACGAGTTTTTAATTTAAAATATTATTCATGTTGCAAATGTGGCCGCATATATTTATTGTTATTATATTTTTAGAAAGAGCTTTGCACACCCAATAGTTGGATATATAATTTGTTGCAGGCTCCCGTACTTTTATATTTTTTTGTTAAAATACTTGCTTACAAGAATGATGAATCATAACAAATGTCATGCCCTTCTTAAATTTAAATTTAAGTAATATAAAAAAAGTTTGAGAAAGTCACAATTCACATATTATACATAAAAGTTTACATATTTTCTCATATTAAACTATACCTATATATGTATACTACAAAAAATTATGCTATAATACAATTTATTAAATTTTTTAGTTGTAAGAGCATGCATATCATTACATTTTATATATTTTATATTACAAATTGGTATCTCTTATATAACAATTTTCAACAAAGGCAGAATAGCATAAACTATATTAAAGTATATTTATAAATGCTGTTTAAACTAGAATCAAAACAAGGGTAGAAAAGCTTTCAAATATATTTGTTAAATTTTTAGTGTTTGATATAGTATATGCATTATGATGTAAATATTAATTTATGTGAGCTAATTTTTTGTTATTAAAAAGTTATTTTTTATTATTTTAATATAGGAAGAATTATTCTTTATTTGTAATTCGCGAAATGACAAATACTCATAATAATATGAAACATTTTTATATTTTATATAATCTTATATGTTTGCAAGAAAACTTCTATGTTAACTTTTGAATAAAAATTATTTTGAGAATAACTAAATCCTAGTCATACATATTGTTTTGTCACATTCAAGTTATTTAATGACGTGATAATATAAATGTATTAATTTTTTATAACATATCTATTCTCCGATTTTTCGTAATGATGAAAATGTGCGTACACACTCAAATTGTCACACTTTAAATACACTCGAGGCTCCAAGAACTAGTAAAAAAGATATATGGGTGGTGGCAGGTGGTGGGTGGTTCTGGGACTGTCATGTCGGCTGTCTCGGGAGTGAGTAGCAGTAGCGGCGGCAGTTCCGGTCAACCCACACCAATTGCACTTGTACCCAACGTAATCGACTCTCTGTCTAGGTTGTCCTCATCACAGGTAAATAAATATTGGAAAGTAACAGGAGAGAAAGTATAACTAATTTCATGATATATGTGAGATCGCATGAATGATGTGTTTTGCAGGGGTGCAACAAAAGGCTTTTTTATAATATTGTTTAAATCTCTGATTATAATCAAACGAATTTGCAGTAGAAAGACTTAGAAGATTTAATACTTAACGTACAAACACTTCCCCATATATTTATTCTTATAGACCAATTATATACATCTCTATACAATTAATGGTACACATAGTAATATTCAATATATGTCTAAAAAATATATTCCCAATTCTCATTTTTTACTCATTCGTTCATATGAACATAACAGTACACAATTACACTAATTAATATGTATATATAATTTTACTAACAAAAAAACAAATATTTATTTTAATATTTAAAGAAGTAATAAATTGTGTTACATAGTCATTATAGGAAAAAATGAATCAAGAGATTGAACTAATTATTAGATTTTGCAAGAAATAGAATTTTGATTTTTAGTTATAAAATTCGATGAAAGAATACACACACACATATAGACATTATGTGGAGATAGAGCAATCTAAGAAATGTATTACTTTGATGTATGATTTTTCAGGTGGATATTACTAATGAAAGATATTTGTCAGTATATGATTTATGAGTAACATTACATTAACGACTTTTCCTAAATAACACAAGTACTTTATATTTTTCAGAACACAACAACCAGTCCGAAAAATCCCACAGCAAAGCTGTTGAGTCAGCCAAGTATATCTATTACTCCATTACCACGTACGACATCTCAAACCTCCATTCCAGGATCAGGAACTTCTTCAAAATCTGGAGGAAAAAATACATTTGTTATATGTGAAATTTGTGATGGATATATTAAGGTAATACACAATAGTAAAGTAATACACAATAAATCTGTATATTTTTATTCCTATGTAGTAATCAGAGCTACATTCAAAAGCTGTATACATCTTTAAGAAAGAGATATGAAAATTCCATCAAAATATTTTTTTATAACTATCGAATAGAATTTATTATTTAAATTATATAAGTTGAGTTTATAGATTCAAATTCATGACAGTAATATAAATAAAAAATATATTTCTGATTACACTATATATTACACACTGACAAGATTATATATAATAGATGATAAGATTAATTATTATTAGCAGATGTTATAAAACCATGTATACAATAGCACTCAATCTTTCTGAAGTACTTTGCATTACAACTTATTATATTTATTTTAGGATCTAGAACAATTACGAAATCACATGCAATGGATCCACAAAGTAAAAATACATCCAAAGATGATTTACAATAGACCTCCATTAAACTGCCAGAAATGCCAATTCCGATTTTTTACAGATCAGGTAAAATTTTAATGTAATTAATTAAAAAAACATGAAAAATTTTTAAACAATTTTATAATTAAAATGTAGGAAAAATTACATTATTCTTTTTTTTGCATGTATAGGAAAATACAGATTGATATTTTCACAGCCACATTTTGTCTATATTAATTTGAGTAAAATATAAATTTTAAATGAGATTTGATTGTGTTGCCGTTTCTAATAAATGTATTCATGTTAATAGTTGCACAATAATTACATTTTTTCTCTTAGGGTTTGGAAAGACACTTGTTGGGATCTCACGGGCTGGTCACATCCAGCATGCAAGAAGCGGCGAATAAAGGAAAGGATGCAGGTCGTTGTCCGGCTTGTGGCAAAGTAAGTTTACTCTTTTCACATCTTTTTACGTTTTTTTAAGTAAAGAGTACTTATTTCGAGAGAAAGAGAACATAAACGAAGGCATGAACGATGAACTAGTAGTTAAGAGCTATGTGTATTGATTTCACAGGTATATCAATGGAAATTATTAAATCATGTTGCTCGAGATCACGGAATGACATTAAAGCCAGCACATCTATCGTATAAGTGTACAGTTTGCACTGCCACATTCGGAATGTACAAGCAATTCGAGAATCACGTGTACTCAGCGCACAGTGTCGTTGCGAAGAGAGTAATGGATAAGAAGAATGCGCCTGCATCTCCATCGTCCAGATCGAATGACTCGCTTCTAAAACCATTGAAGATTAACGATGAGATTACGATTATCCCGCAACCGGCGAAACCCACAACTAGATCCGGCGCGACTCAAGGCAGGGGAAAATAGCAATGATGAGCTTGAGTGATACCTGTGTCTTGTCTGATCGAATTTTGCATAACTCTTTGTGGTACTCCATACCAATCACTGGCAAATGTACAGTGATTAATGTGCCGTGTACATGTGTATACTATGCTTAAGACGCGAATTTTAAAAACATCTAAAGGGGAAAAAAAGGAAAAAAAAAAGGAAAGAAAACATGACTCTTATGACGACAGGAATCTAATTGACTGCGTAACAATATTCCATCAATGATTACACCGATATATTTATTTAAGAATTTTTATTGTTGTTATCGGACCTACATAAAATAGACTGTAAAAAAACATTAAAGGGTGGCCTTCAGTCTGACTCCTTGGTTAACTCCTAGAGCTGCATACTCCCGACCTATAAACGCCTATGTGTAACACGGACTCTCTCGCACACGATATACAGAGTATATCTACATTCGATACGTCGCAACGCGTGCGGATTATTCTATTACATAGCGAATTCTCTATAATGTAAATTCTTTTTCTAAGATAAATATATATTCGAATTTATTCTATTTTGTTATTGACGCTAATATGACTCGCGGGATAATGAAACTGTCCTCAATCTCGGGTTTGATAAAACATGTTTGTGGAGCGGTTTCCGAATGATATACGATGCGATAAATTGTACTAATTGACCAGAGTGCCCTCGACTGTCACGCGAATCTATAGTACTACACAGGTACTAACGACGAGTGTATACTAGCTACCACGCGGTTCTTTAAATCGTATACAAACTGTATTCTCATTTCACTATCATACGTTTTTTTAATTAACAGTTAGTGAAATTATCGTCATTATTTTTATTTATGATATTTCATGAAACTGTGTGTGTATATGGAATAATTTATGATGTAAAACACGAAAAACAATTTTTTTTTTTTTTTAATTGGAATTTGTGTAAATTGTATATCTATATATTACTACATAAGTTTGACACCCCCTCCCCCCCTCCCCCTTTAGTCACGTATATTGTAATAAAAAGCAGAAAATATTCGGTTTTATTTTTGCGCTCTTATAAGAACAAACAAAAATGTACATTAATATAGGATATAATATAAAGAAATATATCAATAAAATAGGATGGCACACAAATACACACACTCGTGTATACATTTTTTCTGATAAACGATAAACGTGAATATAAAACGGAACATTGATCCTGTTAGCACACAACGCGACGCGTACATCTACATTTATATATGTATATATATAATATAAAACGTTCGCAAAAACACACGATATTATATATATAAATATGTAAAATTATAATAGTATAGAGCAATAGTGTAGTACAAGAAGAGACTATTCATTTCATTTTCTTCTTGTATACACTCCTGAACGATTATAGGATTACATCAATATGTAGATAGTCGTTAAAAAAATTAACGCGGGTTTAATTTAGTAATTTCAATTTGTCCCGATAATTTTTGTACGTTATTGTAGGATATAATTTTAGAGGGAAAAAATCGTAATCAGTGAAAAAAAGAAATATAAGATAGTGCGTTTTTGCACTGTATGGCTGTATTATTTAATTCTGCTACCTTGCCAAACGCTTACGGCAAGCCATGTTGGTAAAACTAAGAAACAGACATAATTACAGAAATATATAGTTTATTGTAATAATTTGTACAATATTATATGATTACAAAAATAAAGTGTACCAACATTGAACTAAAACTCGTGCAATATGTGCTACACTTTGAGACTTACTATTATTCATTAAAGATTACAACAAAGCTTGTGATCTAAATAAGAAAGCACGATCCCAATATCTATATGTTTCAAAGCCTAGTTTGTCCGCCCCATTACAAAATATATATAAAAAAATTGATATATTTATAATTACATAATGCATCCGTGATTATATAAGATTATTTCTAGAAATATATTATCTCTCTCTCTCTCTCTCTCTCTCATTTTCTTTTCTTCTGTATTAAGAATCCAAAATATGTGCCATAAATCTTAATATTTTAATATATTTTAAGTAAAACAGTAAAACAGCGCTAAAACACTGTTATCTGCCAAAAAAATTTAGAATTAAAATACATAGTAAAAAATACGAAAGAAAATTAGAGTAAATGAAAAAAAGATTATTGGAAAGGACGCCTTGTATATATCGATAGAAAAAAATTTCGTCTATGTAAGAAAGTTATAATACAAACATTTACGAATTATATTAATTGTGATAAATTTATTATGTTTTATTGATAGATATTTTAGGATCTCATATTTGATATACATTATTTTAAAACTCTGAAATATTATGTATAACTTTTAATGAATAATTTATATGATGAATTCTCGGGATATTTTTTTTTTATATAATTATTAAGATACTTCTATATAAGAATACTTCTCATCATGTATTTAATAATAAAAATTTATTATCATTAGATATATTTTATCCAATTTGTTGTAAAGTCCTCTTGTCGTTTAAATTTATGTAGTGTGGAAAAATGATTACACAGCTGTATTTTATTTTGGTAGAATAATATATATTTTATTATATAAATGTATCTTTCAATTGATAAATTTAATACTCGAAATGGAAGTCGAAGTAAGATTGATCAAAATTATTAATTCGCATATATCCATCTTCTCCACCTGTAGAGTAACTACGACCATTGGGATGAAAAGCAAGAGAATTAATAGGGCCAAAATGCCCTTTCAAACGTGCAAATTCCTCTTCAAACACTAGATGGAAGAATCGTGAATCAAATTTGCCTTGTCGCGCGGACGTTGTAGTGACATCCATAGCGTCTTGACCACCACCAAGTACCACCTATAGAAAAATATTTACTTGGCAAATTATAATGTTCTCGATTTATATTTCCTAACTGTATTATACTAATATTCTATTTCTTTTCCCAGGATTCCAAAATGATATATAATATATGATGATTACTAAAACACAAATTTCTTACATGATCAAATGCCATATATAAATCTTAATATTTTAATATATTTTAAGTAAAACAAATTAAATGCGCTAAAACACTGTTATCTGCCAAAAAAATTTAGAATTAAAATACATAGTAAAAAATACGAAAGAAAATTAGAGTAAATGAAAAAAAGATTATTGGAAAGGACGCCTTGTATATATCGATAGAAAAAAATTTCGTCTATGTAAGAAAGTTATAATACAAACATTTACGAATTATATTAATTGTGATAAATTTATTATGTTTTATTGATAGATATTTTAGGATCTCATATTTGATATACATTATTTTAAAACTCTGAAATATTATGTATAACTTTTAATGAATAATTTATATGATGAATTCTCGGGATATTTTTTTTTTATATAATTATTAAGATACTTCTATATAAGAATACTTCTCATCATGTATTTAATAATAAAAATTTATTATCATTAGATATATTTTATCCAATTTGTTGTAAAGTCCTCTTGTCGTTTAAATTTATGTAGTGTGGAAAAATGATTACACAGCTGTATTTTATTTTGGTAGAATAATATATATTTTATTATATAAATGTATCTTTCAATTGATAAATTTAATACTCGAAATGGAAGTCGAAGTAAGATTGATCAAAATTATTAATTCGCATATATCCATCTTCTCCACCTGTAGAGTAACTACGACCATTGGGATGAAAAGCAAGAGAATTAATAGGGCCAAAATGCCCTTTCAAACGTGCAAATTCCTCTTCAAACACTAGATGGAAGAATCGTGAATCAAATTTGCCTTGTCGCGCGGACGTTGTAGTGACATCCATAGCGTCTTGACCACCACCAAGTACCACCTATAGAAAAATATTTACTTGGCAAATTATAATGTTCTCGATTTATATTTCCTAACTGTATTATACTAATATTCTATTTCTTTTCCCAGGATTCCAAAATGATATATAATATATGATGATTACTAAAACACAAATTTCTTACATGATCAAAAATTGGTGATATTGTGGCAGAATTTACAGGTCTTTCTGTCTTGTATGTCTTCAATAACACCAAGGATTCACTATCGAAAAGTTTTGCTGTATGATCTTTGGATGCAGTTACAAACATGGTGCCATCTTTGTTACATTGCATATCATTTATCTGTGATTTGTGACCTTTAACACTGGACAACTTCTTCCCTGTCTGTAAATATTACAAACATACCAAATTATTACCAGATATTTTCATGATAATTATCACTGTAACTATAAAGACACTTGCCCTCACGTCCCAAAGTTTAATTTCACCATCCTCGTGACCTGTAATAATAGTCTCATCCAAAGCACCCCATAATATAGCAGAAATTCTAGGACCATTGACAGAGATTCTAGAGATCGCATCTTCTTGTGATAATGTAGAATCGACATTTCGTACATCCATGATAAACATCTCACACTGATGACCTAAGGCTTTATCAGTGGAAAAGACAGCAAGATTTGCTGAATAACTGAAACCACATGCTCTTACAGAACTATTTGTGCTCAATTGACCTATCTCCTTGCCTAAACAAAATTATATAAAAACATAATTATATATATATTGCATATGCAAGCAAAATATATTAATTATATTTGTTTTTATTATATACAGACCAGTTTGACAATCCCAGACTCTTAGCGTATTGTCACCACTGCCGGATAATAGCCGTGTGGTATCCCAGTTGACATCGATGCACCATACGGAACCGTTGTGGCCGTTGAAAGTCCCAAGACGCTCTCCGTTCAAGGCATACCAAACATTAGGTTGCTTATCCTTACTAGCGGAAAACAGCAAATCTCCTTCTCTATTATATTTTATTTTGGTGATGGCACGCTCGTGTCCGTGTAACATCAAGGGTTTCTGTAGCAAACAATACCCTTTATATACCGGTATATATGTAAAAAAAGAATTGATGTATCTGTCACATTGAGGTTATATATTGTCATACATGTTTTATTAGTTTAAATACAACACAGATTTCGCTAAAAGATAATAATATAAATGTATTAATGTAATATTAAATGAAACTAACCATTTTGTAGCGTTTTATTTAATTTTACTTCAGTTTTAGTTGATTTATCCTCTAACTGCCTCTAACATCCACGCCATCCACCGAAGAAAATCGTGATTGATAAGGGCGAGGTTATATTTATACGACAAAATTATGTCCTATTCCCGATTGGCTATCGAATAGAGAATTTCTAGAATCTCAATCGAGATTCTAGGGGCAAAGAATTCTTCACTCTGATTGGAAACTCGTAATCGAGATCGACGCATCGTATCTAGATATTAATTGCATCAGGGTTGTATACGGATGTTATTTTATTGCGGTGTGTGTACTTGTATACATTGTACAATAACAGTAGTACAATACAACAGTACTGTATTATATCGAGAAATCAAATGCGGTTTTGCGATTGTGTGAGATCTAATTTATAGATCAAAGAGTTAGTCAAATTTGAAACACAAAAGAAACTTACTTTGTGAGCAAACATTATGTATCACGAAGCAAACCGCGATGTAGTTGCACGTGAGGTG